AATGCTATCTTTTCAAATCTTTACGATTCAATTCTTCTCTTTTGTTACAGGCCATCAAGAAAATGATAATACAAAATTCAAGGACATTTCAAATACTAACTAATGCCCTTATTTTTAGTTTATATAAAGCTTTTTCTTGTTAATTAAAAATTACATTTACATTGTAATAGATTGCAATAGATTTGGGGTTGGGTGCAGAGGGAAAAATAGCTGCTCTAAGGACTACACCAGTCTTTGTGTTTTATGTTGCCCCTTAGGCGGGTCGTTATTCACCATCCTTCAGGATCAGATTGACAGGTACGCTGTTCAATCTGATTTGAACAGAACTTCTAAATAGGCTTTCACAGGTGGTGAAAGGGGGAAAGAAATACTCTGAGCCCAGTTTTAGACACAAAAAGTTTACCTTTGGATGCGAAAAATGGCATGAAATGTTTGCGATTTTCCTAACGGCGAACTGGTTAAAGCGAACTGGTTTAAATAACAACATAAGGCAGCAGTCTACATTGCGTGACAGTGCAAGTATACAACGTTTATTCATTTCAGTCTTGTAAGTCTGATTATTTCCTCATACGTAATTTTATTTAAAAATAAAGTGAATAATTTTTAACCCCAGTTAAAATGAGTACAAAACGAAAGAGCTATTCCTGTTGAGTACAAAAAGGGAATCGTGGAAGACTCGAGGGGTGTAAATCTTGTAGCATTCTGTAAAGAGAAGATACTGGATCTCCTGTATGGTTCGTAAATGGTGTGCAGACTACGATTACCTGTGTCAACTGGTGGACCAAGGGAAATGAGAAAAAAACACAGAGTTGGATCAGGTCGGCAGCCGTTATTTTCTGAGTTGGAACGATTGCACCTGGGAATGGATTGCAGGCAGGAGAGCAATGGCTTGGTTGTGCACAGGGCTGATATTCAAAATTTGCCCTTGAACAGCAATTGAATTTGATATATCCACAGAAGAATTTAAAGCATCGTCACACCGGTTGGACAACTTCCTTAAACGATATAAACTGTCTCTAAGGAGATCAACAACATTGTTTAAGCTGGAAGACAATGAAGTTGTTAAGCGTGCACTTGTGTTTAAGCTTTTTGTTGATGGCATCGATTTTTCGAAATACCAGCTCTCCAACATGACTGCTATGGATGAGAACGCGGTATTCCTAGGCCAAGGAGCTCAAATGACAGTTCACCACAAGGATTCTTCGTCAATTTACGTTCCTTCTACCGGTTACGATAGTGCACGTGTTACCTGTATTTTGGCGATTCATCTAGATGGCAAGAAAGTATCGCCATTTTTAATCACTAAAGGTAAAAGACCAGATTCAACGTGTTTCAGGAATTTATGTCATTGAAAGTGAAAAAGCCTGGTGCACCCAAGCAGTTATAAGAAAGTGCGTTGATTTTATGCTGCCAACCACTGATGAGGGGTCAGAATAGAGGTTTACTGGTTTGGGATTCAGCCAGTACTCACTGCCCTAAAGACATGAAAAACTTTCTTGCTGAGAAGAAGATTGATCAAATAATGATTCCGGCAAGAATGACTGGTTACCTACAGACACTTGACATTGCAGTAAACAAGCTATTCAAGCATCATTTGCGGATGGAAATCAATGAATATGTTAAAAACACAATAGTGAGAAATCATCGAGGTAATTTTGTAAAACCAGGCTTACAAGAAGTTGTGAATTTGGGTAAAAAAATCATGGGACAAAATAACTGATAGTGATGTTTCCAATGCACTATGAGCAGGCTACTTAGACAAGAAGTATTCATTTAACGATAGCTATATCGCAAGACATGATAGATTCGGACCAATGATTCAACAGGAAATGGATTTGGAAGAAAATCAGAATATAATTCAGCATTTTATTTATGACGATGTTCCAGAAGAAGATGACATGACTGTAATTGAATAAATTTAAATTTCTGTATTCTGTGTAAGATAAATATTAAATAAAAATATATAAATATACTTTTATTTTTGCTCTGCCCCCAAAATAAGCCCTAGCGCGTATTTTGGACCAAAAAAGAAAGTAAGACAATGTCTTATTTTCGGAAAAAGATGGTAGTCTTGTGTCAGCCGAAATAGAGTCATATCCTAGTGGTCAGATCTTATGAATTATACCATGGGATTGTTGTCAAAAGAAGTGTAATGCACACAATGCCGAGTGAAAATTAAGTTTATATGAATGAAATGAAAAATAAATGCAAGCTTCTTGTGTCCCCCCCCCAAAAAAAAGGTCGTGGTAGATAAAAAAAAAAATTGGTGTATTCGTACCATCATCACAGATAGGAAAAAGCAATGCCCGAATCCACAATACAAGCTCCTAGCAAAAGTTGAATTTTCTACTTGAGTGTGTTACCTACTCGCTAAGGTAACTTGCAGATAAGCATGGTTTTCACACTTCCTCTTCAGGAAACTGAAGAAGCATCTGGGCTACTCTGAAACTAGCGATAATATTTTCTGTAAGTATTTTTTATAAAAATGCCAACTCCATTACAACACCACTCCTGGTGAATCCAAAATCTATAACTCAAGAAGCCAACGTTTTATCCTCTAGGCAACAAGAGCAATGTTAATGTAGATCTATTTTAAGAAAAATTCAAAATCCATCGCTACAATCTATTGCTTTAGATTATTCTGTAAAAATTATCAGCCATATATCATTTTTGATTGGTTATTAGGGTTTATTATTGCTAATAAACATGAGCATTTTCCTTTAAATAATTTATAAAGCTATTTATTCTATTAGCATATGCTTTTTTTTTTTTATTATTATTAGCTGAAATTTTTATTAATATTGGTCTATTTGACTCCCCCCCCATCAAGAAGAATTTTTGAAAGTGCAATCATTTAAAAACCATGGTATAAATTGGACGTTTGAAATGAGATGCTTGACGCGTCAAGCATAAAAAAGTTGAAGTTAAGTCAACTCACGTGGTCTCCGGCCACCCGGCAAATGCTGCCTCTGAACTCGCTTCTGATTGGTTAACGCTTTACGCGCAAACGTGTTGGTGTGAATGCAGCTTTAGATTGACAGTTGATCAGTGCCACTGTTGTTGCCTTTTTAGCTCATTTTTATGCTTTGGCACATATTGTGCAAAAGGAATAAAATGTGCCATGTCGTCCATTAAAAAAGGTAGTGAATTTTATGAGATTCAAGAAAATGTCTAAAAACCTGAGAGATCTATAAGAACTTTGCAACAAACTTGGTGTTGCAAGAACACATCCTTCAGACACAGTCAGCTACACTGTCTAATGTTTTATGCTACGCCACCTAATGTGATAATGCCTATAATTTTAATGGAAAATATTCTGCATTAAGTTTTGGTTTAACAGTATTAAAACTTGATAAAGCTCCCAATCATCTAGTTTGCTGCTTGATAGCCTACTTTTGTATGTTTTTAATGCTTATCTAACATTTCGTGCCATCTATTTCATACTTAGAAAAATATTTGAGAACATGGAAAGAAATAAGTTGACAGCATATTACTTAACAAGCACATTTATTCACATGCACAGCCTAGCGATGACATTACAATGCAATATGAATGTTATTGAGGATTCTGTGGCACTTGCGCCGATATATACACACACATGTGCACGCCATTCTTAAATACTGCCATTCTTATGTGTATGCCATTCTTAAATGTCCATCTCTGAAATAGATATAATGGTATAAGATATTCCTTTGCTGGTAAGTTTTATAAATCAGCTACACCATCTAATGTTTTATTAAAATTATAATAATCCATTCTGGCTTACATGTTTATAAAGTAGCAGATACTTTTTTTAGTAGCAACCAGGTCTGAGCTTCTTTGTAAATAAAAGGCTAATAGTGTCAATGCTTAAAAAACATAAAATGATAAGTGAAGGTGGTAACCTTATAAAAGTAAGCTTTCGTGGACAGAATATTACATTATTTTTATTGATCATTTATTATGCATGAATTTCATGTTTTTCAGAGATTATCTCCCCCTTTTCCCCCCAGAAAAATTTTTAGTTTTAAATAATTTAATTTTATTTGGTAAGTTTCAGTTACATTTAAAATTAATCTTATTTTTGAAAATTTTATAGAATTGTGCTGCAATGAAAGATTGTGATGTGAAAGGTTGTTCGAATCAATGCTGGTTCAAAGGTTAGATGTTCTATTTCTGGCAGCTGTTTGGTTTATTTATTTCTCGTATCAAGAAGCATCAAGTGCCACCCTGTTAATTGAAAAGTGCCAATTATATTACTGTAGTTCAAGTTTAAAAGGATTACATAAGTGTTTTTCTATTTGATAGTTGCTAAAAACCATTAAAGATAGTTGTAGGGAGTCTCATTTTGGAATCATTTTAAGCTTATCTATAAAGTTTGAAATCTTGATATCTCTCTAACATTTTTTTAACTTTCATGACTCTTAGAGTTCACATTTGTGATGAATTATCATTTAAGTTTCAATCAAAAATTTTGAAAATGAAAGATTTTAAGTGGGATTTGGTTCCTTTGAGTGTTTATATTTCATGAAGCATGTAAATGTTGAAACGTGTTATTTACGATAACATGATCCTTACACGTATTTTATTTGTATGTCATCATAAGTAGGAATTGCTTCATAACTACTTTTCTGTAAATTTAATTTTAAGTGTTTTGCATATTTTAGAGTATTATAAATTTACTATTAAAAGTTTCAAATGTATGCAAAATTTTAAATATTTTCCATTTGAAAACTGCTACTAAAACTGTATTTAGTTAACAGGCATTACTTTTTTATTTATTTCTTTACTTGTTATATTTTTGTGTCAGTCTCGGAAAGTTACAGATCTTCTCTCTATATATATCATCTGTATACACTTTTTATATTTAATTTTAGTGTAAAGTTTTTGGTAAATTGATGATCCTTTCCTTAATGATATCCTTTATTTTTGCTTGTGAAATCTTTTTCAGAAATATATATTTTGTATTAATTATTGCTGTTATTATATATATATATATATTTTATTATTATTTAGAGTTCAGTATGGAGAAATATACTGTTGATATTGATAAAGTTTTAGATGATTTCGAAGAAACAGAAGGTAAGTTTTTTCAACCAATATGCTTAGTGTAGTTATCCAGATTGTTGGATATTTATATATCATTTGCATAGAATAAACTATTTAGAAAATTTCAAAGTTTACATTACTATAATCAAATAAAGTTATTTTGAATAGTTCTTGGAATTATTGCATTCTGTGTGGAATAGTAAGAAGTGGGTTAAAATAACCTTAGTTATAATAAAAAATTAATTTTATTCAAATTTCATTTTAAATAATTGCAAACAGTATGTCCTCTACAATGGACAGCATGAATATACGTACGTGCATACAAATCTCTTCCCAATGATTTATGGTCATTGCATTGAAAATCAATTTCTGCCATGTTTGCAGTGACCAATACCATCTTTTAAAAGGTAAATCTACAATTGGCATATACATACAGATCCTCCAAAATGCCTCCATTTCATCAATTGTGATTGAATTCATTTTGTAACCTGTATCTATTGGATTCAAATGTCAAATGTTCTAGAAATTCCTTGCTGAACACAGTTTTAAACATTTCCAGTGGTGTTTTGGCTTGACAAGCAGCATTTTAGGGTTTCAATTTATTTTTTCTGGTAGAGTGTTGTGGAAGATTTTTATCTACCCATTACCAGGCAATTTTCCTTTTCTCCTGCAAACAAGATTTCTTATTTTGCACAAGTGATTTTATAAGTGAGATTTCTGTTCCTTCAGTTTCTGGCTCATCATCAGAGTCATCATGGAGGAATGTCGGTATGTATTCCTCTTTCTCATCATCACTTTCCAAATCTTCATCATCACTGCTTAATAGGAAAATCTCATTCGTGATCTTCTCAATTTCATCTTCAGTTAAAAACAATTTCTGATTCAGATGCCTAATAAAATGTGAACTAAAATTAGATATAACTTTGTTTTATTATCTAATGAATTGCATGCTTAAATCAAATTAATAATTTAAAATAAATTTTTGCAGCCAAGTGACACCCCTTGTTTGAAACTTAAAATTTTTACAAAATTCGTCCTGCCATAATGTCGTAAAAAGCATTAGATTTACACTGGTGTGCAAAAATTAAGGACGAGACGGTTTTTTCAATGTAACTTTGTACAAAAGCTTTCCAAATCAACATATTTAATACCATAAGATCCCCAATATGTAAGGACATGAGTAATGTAAGCAACACTTACTAAAAGAGAAATCGGAGGGATAAAAAGAAGCTTTATTGAAAAAGTAGCATGGAGCGCAATGCAACTGAAAAAAACCGAAACATCCCGTGAGGGTGTCCAGCAAAAAACATCCGGTCTTTAATAGGGATATGATTTCCCCTGACTGCTAGGCAGGTTTCACGCGTCTGCCCATGCTGAGAATGAGGGTATCAACGAGTTGTTGAGGCATTGCTGCCCATTCATCTTGCAGCGCCAATCGAAGCTCCGGAATCGTTACTGATGGTAAGGTAAAAGCTGCCAAGCGTCTGCCTAGAAAATCCCATACATGCTCGATGGGATTGAGATCCGGAGATCTTGCCGGCCAATCCATACGTTCAATATCCTCACTCTCTAAGAGCTGTTCGGCAGCTACTGTGCGATGACATGGTGTATTGTCGTCCATGAAAAGGAACTGCGGACCCATAGCACTTCTAAAAAGACGCACATATGGAAGAAGAATCTCGTTACAATAACGGGTCCCGTTGACTGAACCTGCGTCGAAGACGTGAAGGTCTGTACGACTACCAAGCATGATGTCTCCCCAAACGAGAACACCACCACCACCCAACCTGTCCCTTTCAATGATGTTCGAGGAATGATTGCGGCTTCCCCGCTCTCTCCAGATGAGTATGCGATGAGAATCGCTACTCGACTGAATTTGCTTCATCTGTAAAGAGTACTCGTCCCCAATTCATTGTCTCTCCAATTCCGGTGTTCCCGGGCACCACAGAGAACGCCTTCTCCGATGGGCAGGCGTTAGAGGTACACACCATACAGGGCGTCGTGCAAACAGACCACACCGTGCAGTCTTCTGGCCACGGTAATTAAAACGCGATATCGGTGTCCAGTCGCCTGTGTCATGTGTCTAGCGATTTCTCCCGCTGTCTGCCACCTGTTTCTTCTGGCCTGTAAGGCAATATACCGGTCACCTGCGGGTGTGGTTCCTTGTGGACGACCACTACTAAACCCCCGGATAGCTGTTCCTGTAGTTTGAAATTGTCTCTTAACGATGCTGTGAGCAATTCCGAACTCTGTAGCCACACTTGTCACACTGCGGCCTTCCTCCAACTTCCCAATGATTCGACCTCAGGTAAAAGCATTCAGATGTCGTCTAAGAGATTGATTATTCGCCATTTCTCGCTGAGGTAGCAACTCGGTGTGATTTTAACTGCTATACGGTGTGCAATCTCTTTGCCAGAAATACTGATCTTACACCGACCATATGCTTTATACTATTCAGACACTCCCCCATTACGTCTACCTGCATATCTGCGCATGTGCTACCGTACATCACTTACTTAATCTCCTGATTGGTCTTTCTGTCCGCTCTGCCTCTTCGTTCAGATGATATGCTAATTTTTCGACTTCGTCCTTAATTTTTGCACACCAGTGTAATTCATATCTATTACAGTAGACAGAGTAAAATTAGCTTGATTTCATGACGTCTACTGTAGAGGGGGGAAAAAAAACCCCAACAACTTATTTTAATAAAATTAGCTTCTCAACAATTTTTTCAAACTCGTATTTAAAATAATATGTCTAAAATTACTAATAATGAATAAAATATGGCAGTGTAAGAAATTGTAAGCATTATATGTTTACTATGAGAAATCTTACTAACATGGAAACAGAAATAGCAGCCATTTTCCAAGTAGCAATGCTTTACTTAGTGATGCTGTGCTGCCATCTATGATTGACAGTTGAAAGTTCTAATTATATAGAATGAATAAATGCTAGAATAGAATCTGTTAAGCCATTTTCAGAAGAGTAAAAAAAAATGAAACTTTTGTCTACTAGAGTGGACATGATGCAATGAAGCTTGGGAGACGGTAATGATGATACTGTAAAAGAATGACTCTTGAAAAATCAAATTTTGATTTGCTTTGGAAACATGTCATAAGTAATGCAGGAATTTTATTGTAATATCTTTTCTGTGAATATTTTCACAAACTTTAATGGATTATTTTTTTTAAATTTGGATGTTATCAAGCGTATCCATGATTTTCTGATTTTTCCTACTGCTTAATTTCTCTTGTAATTGTTAGATTTTTTGTACACCTAAATATTTTAATGTCTTCATACTGATCTTTGGCTGTTTATGACATGGAAATGAATCTTCTCAAAGTTCTTAGAATGTAAGGTTGTTCCTTCTGTTACCTCAAAGCATTGCTGAAATAGTTTTTTTGCTGTAAAACTTTTTTTTTTTTTTAATTTGGAAGAATGCTGCTGGGAGAAATAAACTTTTCTTTATTGAACTGAAATTCCTCAAATAAGTTATTGTTAAGGCTTACAGCGAGAATATTATCCATAAGCAGCAGAACTTTGAATGGCACATTCCATTCTAAAAGGTATTTCTTTACTGCAAGACCAAAGACCGTATTGATCCACTTTAACAAACACTTTAACGAATGACCAAATATTTACTATTGGATTGTCACATAGTTTAATTAGTTCATCTGCATTTTACATTTCTTGAAGGGTTGTCGATTCTTGGGATGCTACTTGAGCAAGTGCTTGTATTGCTTCATTTGTATTTATCATAAAAAACTGCACATCTTTGTGGATGACCCTGTACTTGAGTCCATTATTTATTTACTCATTTGTAGCAGTGCACTTGAAGAGTTATGCACCTGAGGAGAGGTTTGTCTTTGTGAAAGATTGTCCAAGGAAAACTGGGTTCTTACACATGAAGAAAAGCACTAAAACAGGTATGCTGGAAATCTTTTTGACAGGATTTAGCTCTTGGGTACAGCTATTAGTGCTTGGGTTTCTTCTTATTGGACCACTGGTGGGATGCATTTGTCCATCCTAGTTTAGTGTTCTCAGTCTGAGTTCATTTACAGCCGCTGTTTAAAATCCTGGCTATGACTGGGGATAGTTGAGAGATCGAAGGTAGCATTGATGTATGACCATTTATATTGATACAGATTTCACAAAATATTTTCAGGCACCATTTTCATGGACAGTTCCTATACAGCATTTGTTCTTATTGGTGAAATTTAATGTTTCGAGGTTTCCACCCCCATTACTAGCTCTTGCAATGCTTGAATTTAGGGTTGTCAGCATGTTTTTCGGCTTCTTACTTAATATTCTTTTAAGAGTAGATTCACAATTATATGCATTTGTAAAATAAAGAATGTTCCTCCAACTTTTCCAACTGTCTAAAATTTTTCTTTAAGTAGCATTCACATTTGAGTTGTTTTATCCTCACCAATTCTTTCACTATTATCATGTTTTAAAATTTTATATTGTTCTATGTGTCTTAGCTTAACTGAATATTCTACCATTCCTTATCTTTCATATTGGTATTTATTTTTTTCCCCCTAGATAAAGTGACAGCAGCAAAATCTGTTTTGTTTTTAAATCAGAATTTATTAAAAATTTTCAGCTATATTTATCTATTTGAGATGATGTAAATTACAAATGGGCATTGTATTTAACTGTGAAATAATTTAAAAAATGTGATGAGTTTTACCGTTTAAGTACATACAAATATTTTATGAAAGAGTTATTTAACACAATCAAGCATTTATTAAAAACAATTTGGCTATTTTTCATGTGACTTAAGTCAAAAGCATCAGATTATCAGAACCTAAAGCAATGTGCTAAAGATGCAAAATGATAAACATATTTTGATGTCAAAATAACACCAATGGACATTCTGCTATAGAACATAAATGGTGGTTACTGACAAGTGGCTTTTATTGACACTAGAAAATGCCTTCAAAAGCAAAAAATATTCATTTTCATATCTTGATTAAACTTTGTACCAAGCTTTATGTGCTGTAAGCTAATGTAATGAGGCATAGGTAAATGTATGCATAGGCATTCATTTATTTATTTCTCTTTTTCCTGAAATATGTGTAATTTTCATTGTTTACATGACTTATTTTCTCTCTTATGTAGCTCTAAAAATTGATGCCCATAACAAATTAGAAGAATCTGCTTTGGAGCATTGTATGGAAATATACCACAGTGATGTAAAAGAAAATTCTAATTCTCTAGATGTAGTACATGAAACAACGTGTGACACTGAACATAGAACTAATAAAATCTGTGAACGGACTATCAGTTCTTCATTGCAAAATGAAACCCAGCGTAACTCGGAAGATACCCAGTGGACTAATACAGTTTCTCAGGAAACAGTTAATAAATTATTGAAAGACAGAACTGATTTAAGGAACCCAGTTTATGACAACAACAATCAAAATGCCAAATCTTGGAATTATGAAATTTTTTATAAACCAAATGACCAGATTGTTTCACATTGTGAAAAAAATATTTGCAATTCTGGAAATGTGAAGTATGCATCTAAAGATCTAAATGCATTAAATTCTAGCTTGAATGCGTGCATTACAGATGATGAAATAATTTGTGTTTCTGTACAAGAGAATGCTCTTGGAAAAACCATATGTGAATCTCATTCAGTGAAAGATACACTGGCCACAGATCTTTCAAAGCAAGGTGGATGTTTAGATGATACATGGCTACCAGATAAATTAAAAAATGATTCTGTGTCTCATGACAATTCCTTGCCACTTTCTGAAAAAGAAGACAGTTCTTTGAAAACTCATAATTCTCCAGAAGTAAAAAAAACCTTTCAGGAAAGAGCTCGTGTATCGTGTGAAGAAAATGTATCTGGAAGTGTAGTAAACAAAATTTTAAAAATATCTAATTCAGATGCTTGTGTTGAGGGTTCATATTTAGTAGAACAAAAAACAATCGAAGATAAAGTTGAGGAAGTGAAAGATATGGGTACTGAACCTGTTGATTTACTTAAACAAGCACTTTTAACAAATATTTCTACTGTTGATGTTAATACTGCTGTTGTGCAATCATATCCTCAGATTTCAAGTGCTTCTGAGTTAGACAGTGTAAGAATATTAGAGGAATCACATGAAGAAAATTCTGCATCCTGTAGTAACACTTCTTGTTTATCTACAGTCAATCAAATTTTGAACAAAATTGCAAAATCTGCATGTCCTCCACCTGTTCAGCATTTACAGTTCCAGCAGCTTGATGCTCAGGATGAAGATTCTGGTGTTAGTTCTCAAGAAGATGTAAGTGGAAATAGCCCTCCAGAAATGCTGCATGGAGATGATGCTGGTACTGTTGTAGATGCAAAGTGTGACTATTCTGAATTTAAGTTTTTAAATTTAGACTATCCTGATTGTAATCAGAAGAAAAGCATCGATTGTGTGGAAACCCCTGAAAATGTTGACATTTCTGCTAATCTTTCTTCTGAAATATCTAGAAATAATGAGGTATGTAAAACTTTAACTATAGACAATGACAAATCTGTTGAGACATTGGATACATTTGCTGGTGCACGGCCAAAACTAGATTACGTAAATGATTTGTCTGAAACTCTTAATTTTGAAGAAGATAAAAATATAGTTGATAAAGAAGTTGCAAATACTTTAAAGAACTGTGAAAAACTTAGTGAATCTGAGTGCCCATTTGATGGAGGAAAAGGGACAGATAAAGCATGCAGTGAGAAGAAGAGTCCTACTGAACAAGTGTTGTCTTTAGATATTGCGACTGATGAAATTTGTGAAGACTGTGATCCTGTTTGTAGTAGTATTAATGAGGCTGATGACTTTAAAGTGACTAATGAAGATATTTTGAATGAATCAACTAAAGAAAATATGCCAAGTGAATCATTTAATGAGGGTATTTTAAATAAATCAACTGATGAAAGTACTTTAGATAAGTCTACTGATGATATTTTAAAAAGTGAAGAAGAAGTTGCAAATTGTAACAATAGCTCTGAACCTGAACTCAACTCAGATGTCAAGATTCATATTCTACCTCGTCTTCAGAGACCAACCACCCTTGATCTTCCATCTCGTCATGTCACAACTACAGAAAGTTCGAATGAAAAAGTCCCTGTGTTAGCACAAGATGTGAATGAGATTCTAGATCAAGCACAGGTTATAGCTGCTGAAAGTCCAGCTGCCGAGTTGAAGGTTAAAGGTAGATTTTTTTATTAGTTTTTTTTAAGGAAAATTTGTATTTAGTAACAAACATTTTTTAGGTTAAAAATGATTAATTCCTATTTTAGAATTTCTTCCATGTGTGCAGCAACAATCATCATTAGGAACAGTTAAACCATTTTGGATACCAGATGCAGAAGCACCAAATTGTATGCATTGTGGAATTAAGTTCACAGTAATCAAAAGGAGACATCACTGCAGAGCATGTGGCAAGGTTAAACTTTTTTTTAAACTAATGTATTACTGCTTAAATATGTATAATGCTATAAGATTTATTTTGTTAGTAACTTTTCAAGCTCACAGATTTTTGTAAACATTTTCTTTTTAGGTTTTATGTTCTCGTTGCTGTAACCAAAAGGCTCGATTAGCTTATCTAAACAAGGAAGACAGAATCTGCCAACCCTGTGCTGAAATTCTATCAAGTAATTTGTGACTAATATTACCATTTAGATGTACATTATGATGCAAGGTTTTTGATCAGCATTAAAATGATTTACTATTTTAATAATATTGTAATTTGTTACTTTAATTTTGAATGCATAAAGATTTTTTTCATACATATTCTGCTTTCCTCCAATTTAATTTCTAGCATTACAGAATAAGAATCCTGTTCCTGTTGCTGATTCACAAAGTTCAAGTTCTTGTGGAAGTAGTCCAAATTTTTCCCCAAGTCCCCAAGTTCCTAATTCAAATTTTAGTGATAAAAATTCTTGGCGCCCTCATCCTAATAATCCTGATGATTACTGTTCTACTATTCCACCTTTACAACAAATACAACTGTCTGGATCAAGACCCCCACCCACAGTTATGGTTCCCATTGGTGTTCTTAAAAGAGGTAATTCATATACCTGTTTTCCTTTTTCATTGGAGATGAATTATTTTAAAATGCATATCATTTTGTGAAATTTAAGTTAAAAAAAAAAGCTTTTATGTGTGATATGGTCAGTACATCAATATTTGTTACAATGCTAAATCAAAGCTCTTTTATTTTTTAGCATCTGTGTATGCATATGTTAATCATCACAAAATATATTTACTTAATTTGCACGTTTCTAATGTGATTTCATTTAAATTTTGCTGTTCCTTTACGTATTTTATTTGTTGAACGCTTGATATTCATTTTGTCATCAACAAGATTTCTCAAAAGGAAATGTTTCTAAACATAGTTCGGAGACATTCATAAGTTTGGCTTTCTTATTTTGAACAGAATTTTAATTTTATTCTTATCAGATTATGGAAAAGTCTATCTGCCTAAGTGAAGGGGTGCTTTTGTGGATGACTTTCTAAGGGAAATTGGCTCATATACAAGTTACACATGTAAGATAACACAAAATGCCTCTGCAGTCATCCCATTCATTGTTATTCGAGTCCAGTTTAAATTATTAGTGTTAAATAATCTTCTGCACTCAGCCACTTTTTATCATTTAGAACTTAACAAACTAAAATTTCACTGAGTAGTAGTTTTAAAATGTATGTCATATAAAAGTAATATTATTTTCATCATTTTCATCATTTGTATTTATTACACTGTCTTTACATGCACATTAAAAATTGGAATAATTTAAAATAAAAACATATTTAAAGAATGAAATAAGGAAAATTTCAAATGCTGATTGGAACCATATTAAAAGTGATTTGATTAGAAATAATTAAAAATAATACGCATTTGTAAATATGTTAGTAATAATAATTTCTCAAGAATGTTAATAGAAGAACCTCTGAAAATTAAATTTCTTCGCTATCTGATATCCAAGCCAATTTTTTATGCATTTATAATTTTTTTCTTTACATAACTTGCAATGTTAGGAGTATTTTCAACTGAAAAAAGAAATTTTTTTGTCCGAATTTATATCAAGGACTCAGAATAATCTTGATTTCTGATACCTAGTTTACTGTGGCTATTATTACTTTTTAGCAATTAGCAAAAAGTAATGCATTTTTTTAGTGCCAACATTTTTAATAATTAAATACAGTACAAAGTCCGTAATCCGGACTCGTCGGGACTTCAGCAATTCTGGATTATAGATCATCAATTTAAATCTGGTAAGATGGCATGCAGAAATTATACAATTAAAAATATGAAACTGTAATTTATGAAATAAAGAGCAATTATGATCTAAAGGGTATCAAAATTTACAAAAAAAAGCTTAATATTTATTTGTTTACTTTAGTAAACATTTCTATCAATGTAAGTTGTTTATGTTGCTTTGTTTCTTGTGCTAATACTTTTTCTTTAATTCTATAAACAGACATAATTTCTTGTTCAGTTACAAAATTCCACTGTTCAAGTCCTGTAATTGCTGTGTCGAGAATACCGACTAACTTGTCAATCAAAATTTTTTCATTTTCAATGATGTTCTCTGTTACTTTCTTCACTATCCGAAGCGCGCATGGGTAAATGCTTTACTGGCTTTATGCTCATGCGTAGTGGACGCGCGCATCAAACTCGCATGCGTAAAGGCTTTACATGCATGCGTAAGTTTGTGGCTTTGAGGTCCAGATCATAGATCATTCCGGATAATGGACATCCGGATTACGGACTTTGTACTGTATCTCATTTAAAATGAATTATATATTTTAAATTTAGGTAATGCAAGCAGACTTGCTAACAAAACAAAAAAATAAAACAATAAAGTTACTAATGATAGTGTTCATTTATTTTAAATTTAGGTAATGCAAGCAGACTTGCTAACAAAACAAAAAATAAAACAATAAAGTTACTAATGATAGTGTTCATAACTTTCTCCGAGACATTCCAATCTTGCAGATTTTACATACAACCCAAGTTTGCATTTTTTAAAATTTTTACTGCACACAGCACACTGTTTCATTGAATCAGATTTTACCAGCCTAGGAAACGAATCAGTGGTAAAGGGACTGTGATAGACGAATAATTCCTATCACATGTTTGAAAATATGATTAATTAAATTTATATGAAAGATTTGGTGAGCAATCCTTTTTTATCTTTAAATAATATAAATGCATTTAAAATGGCAATGTTAAAGGAATGAAAGAAGTTTCTTCTTCCATTTCTGATACTTTTGTGAAAATCTATAGGAATTTGCCATTCTGCCACTGAGGTCAACATATCTCATAGTTTTGTTGTAATCATAAATAAGTGCAGGTTTTGAAGTTGTTTCACAATTATTTAAACCTGGAAGGCGTTCATTGTCTTGTTCATACATAGAACTTTATACATCATGTCTTTCCAGTATTCAAGAGTAAGGACATTTGAATTATTTCTTACCAAAATCACTGCTTTTCTGGCCATCAAATCCATGGTAAACCTTTTCATTGGGTCTGTATTGTTTCGTAGCAGTCTATCTCATAATTATTCTTTTTTAGTTCTGGAAAGAGTAGAAAAGTTATTCTTACATAGGAATGTTTTTTTCTTTCACGTATCTTGCTAAATGTAGAGCATACTCCGATGCCCATCAACCTTTAAATCTTTCCTCTTTATCTTTCCACAAACAAATTCTTATGTCCTACATATAGACATTTTCAGGACACAGTTTATCAGTTTATAATCCACAATGTTTATGTATTTTAAAGCTATACTGATAAAACCTATACAACTTTTAAAACAGTCACTTCATAAACAGCAGATTATATAACCTGACTTAAAATTGCATTTAAAATGGCAATGTTAAAGGAATGAAAGAAGTTTCTTCTTCCATTTCTGATACTTTTGTGAAAATCTATAGGAATTTGCCATTCTGCCACTGAGGTCAACATATCTCATAGTTTTGTTGTAATCATAAATAAGTGCAGGTTTTGAAGTTGTTTCACAATTATTTAAACCTGGAAGGCGTTCATTGTCTTGTTCATACATAGAACTTATAACATCATGTCTTTCCAGTATTCAAGAGTAAGGACATTTGAATATTTCTTACCAAAATCACTGCTTTTCTGGCCATCAAATCCATGGTAAACCTTTTCATTGGGTCTGTATTGTTTCGTAGCAGTCTATCTCATAATTATTTCTTAGTTCTGGAAAGAGTAGAAAAGTTATTCTTACATAGGAATGTTTTTTTCTTTCACGTATCTTGCTAAATGTAGAGCATACTCCGATGCCCATCAACCTTTAAATCTTTCCTCTTTATCTTTCCACAAACAAATTCTTATGTCCTACATATAGACATTTTCAGGACACAGTTTATCAGTTTATAATCCACAATGTTTATGTATTTTAAAGCTATACTGATAAAACCTATACAACTTTTAAAACAGTCACTTCATAAACAGCAGATTATATAACCTGACTTAAAATTGCAGTCAAGTATTTGAAATACCTCTCTAAGTTTCTGCAGGTGGTCATAATTAGGACTTGTCCTCGATGGTAGTGTATCATTAGCAAAGGGCAGAAAGCATAATATTTTTTAAAAACTATCAAGAGATATTTTGTGAAAAAATGGGAGTTTCAATCCATTTGTTCTCCAGTAATCACTTATTGAATCATTTTCTTTATATCCACATAGCAATGTCCCTGTCAAAAATGAAAACTTTTCAGAGGATGTACCATTCTTCCACTCAACATCATGCGATCTACACTTTTTTGTTTTGAGCAGCATAATGATCTTTTTCTTGTACAATTTTGTCTATCAGCTTCTTATTAAAAAAAGTTCGAAATAATCAATTTCATTCTTGTCATTAATTCAGATCTTCCTCTAAAATCATGTACTATTACTCTTTTGCAGCTGTGAAATTATCACATAGTTTTTCCATACAAACTCTGTATTTATAGTTGAAAGTTATAAACCGTTTTGATTAGACATCCAGTTTGAACATCCGGGCTTTTCTACATCATTTTGGAATACTGGCAGTGAACATTGAGATTCCAGTTCCGTAAGATTTCCTAGATCTTAGAAGCAGAAAATTGTTTTTCTACATGTTCAGATACTGGCTTAAATAAATTTATTTAACCTTGAAGTAGAAAACAAAAGTAACTACAAAATCACAGGCAGCATACACCGCTAAAACTATTCATAGAATATTAACTCAAGAACACTATAGTGTTGTCAAAAAAGTACAAAGAAAGTGTGACAGTAGAATTATAGTTTTAGCACTCCCTTCAGTTCTGTTGTTAGTAGAAATAAAAAGAGTGTCATCAATGACATAAGCAAGAAAAACTTAAGGACTTATTGAATGAAAAGCAAATTAATGCAAATCGGTGAAATGTTCACGAGTGTCTTATCTTTTATGTTGAGCAGTTCTCTTAACCTTTTAAATTTTGCTTTCGGAAGAGCTTTCTTAAAAATATCTGCTAACCGCTCTTCAGATTTTACATACTTGTGTGCAGAAATTAAGGGTGAAATGGAAAAATTAGCTTATCAGTGGAATGAAGAGGCAGAGCAAAGAACCTGTCAAGAGATCTATCTGTCACTTGATAGGTAGACTTGATACCTTGAAAGACCTATGACCTTGATCAGTTGATACCTTGAAAGACCTATCAAGTGATCAAATAGGGTAGAGGTCTTCAACCCATGGCCCGCTAAAGGCATTTTAGTGGCCCCACATTTGAATTTGAAGAAAAATTTATTTTTAAGAAATTTTGATTTCAAGAAAAATTGCATTGTCAGCTTTTTGTCATAAAAAAACTTTTTTCTCTTATTCTTCATATTTAAAACATTTTATTGACATGCCTGATATTATTTGAAATAAAATTTCCTGAAAATGACCAATTTTTCAAAAATTTCAAGTTATCTTATGTAATTTTAAAAATAAAAAATTTGACATCATAAAATCTCAACACGATAAAAAGGGTAGATTCGTACCTCTAACAGGTTTGCAACAGATGTCAGTCTTTGGTTAATATGTCGTCAAAGGTTACCTTG